TTCATAAACATTCTGAATTATGAAGATTTTAGAATCTTTATTAGTTGAAAATAGTTTAATTGTTCTTTGTAATTTGCATGATGTAGACGAAACTCAAATTTATATCTAGGATCTGATTGTTTTATTTGTTAGGATTTGATTCCTTAAAATTAGGCATATTCTTTTCTAGTTCTAATTTTGTGGGATTTGTTATTCCCATTGTATTCTATTTAAAAGAGAACGTTATTCATCAATAATTTACATAGAATTCATTCTTATTCTTCGAATTTCTTTATGGTATCAGAGCCGAAGGGCTAATTTTTTTCGTCTTCTCTTATGGCTGAACACAATCCAGCCATATCCTCCGGTGATAATACCAGCTCGGCGACTTCCAGCCAATCCATGGTTGAAAGAAATTCAATTCCAATTGCTTCTTTTTTGGGAAGCGATTCCTCTTCTCTTCATATTGCTACCCACAAAGCAGATGGAAAAAATTATCTGCATTGGGCACAATCTGTGAAAATTGTTATTTGTGGACACGACAAATTAGGCTATATCACCGGGCAACTTCCTGCTTCCAAGCAAACTGATCCGTCGTACAAGACATGGCTGACCGAAAATTCCATTGTTCTCGTCTGGCTTATCAATTCAATGGATCCAAAAATTAGCCGTCGCTATCTCTGGTTTAAGACGGTCAAGGATCTTTGGTAAGAACTGGATTTTTTCTTTGAAGAAAACTCCACATGTGCTGAATGCAGTGTTAAGCAGAGACACAACCTCGAAAAAGAACGAGTATTTGATTTCCTTGCTGACCTTAATCGAAATCTCAATGAAGTATGAGGCAGAGTGGTGGCACGGGATCCTCTTCCTTCAACTGAAGAAGCCTTTTGCTGAAGTGCGGCGTGAAGAGGTCCGTCGAAAAGTGATGCTCACTGATGATATACCAGTATCTATCCCTAAACCAGAAGGATCTGCCTTTGTGTCGAATAAATTCCCTCCACATGGGAATCATCATTCTAATCAATGTAAACGACCATGGTGTGATCATTGTAATAGGCCTGGTCATACACGGGACAAGTGCTGGGAGCTTCACGGAAAACTAGCAAACTAGTAGCCTCAGAAAAAGGGTGATGGACGAGCATACCAGACTCATTCTAATCAAGACAAATCAGATAATTTTGACAACTCTATTCAATTCAACAAGGAGCAGATTGAACAGATTTGTAAACTCCTCACTCAATCATCCATCAATATCCCTCAGGCTAATCCCTCGTCAGGTACTAATATTAGGTCCTGTTCAGTGGCTCAATTTGGTATACTTAGCTCCAAAAACTCAAACTTTCATTCAGAATAAGGACCCTTCAATCATTGATTCAGGGGCCTCTAATCACATGACATGTGGCTCTAATCTTTTTTGTTCTTATATTCCATGTTCTAATCCTATCACTGTGAAAATTGTTGATGGTTCTTTAACTCCGGTTGCTAGCATTGGAAATAATAGAATATCTCTAAAACTTATTCAATCTATATTTTATGTCCCTGCCCTAAACTGCAACCTGATCTCTGCAACCTGATCTCTGTTAGCAGAATAATCATTGTGTTGCTAAATTTCTACATTTGTCATGTCAATTTCAAGACCTACTATCGGGGAAGACGATTGACAGTGCTAGGATTCATGATGGTTTTTATTACTTTGAAGATGATTACTCTAAGACGATCGTCAATACTCGGATTGCTTCTATGTCTAGTTCTAGTAGTAGGGAAATAATGTTATGGCATCAAAGGCTTGGCCATCCCAGTTTTTCATATCTAAAACGTTTGTTCGCATTCTTGTTTCATAATAAAAATCTTTCTTCTTTTCATTGTAAAATTTGTCAACTTGCAAAGCATACTAGCATTCCACTTTCTCCAAAACCATATTTACCATCCTCACCATTCTCTTTGATACATAGTGACATTTGGGGACCTTCAAAAATCACTACTTCTCATGGTAAAAGATGGTTCCTTACATTCATCAATGATCACACACGTGTAACATGGGTTTATCTCCTAAAGGACAAATTTGAAATCAACCATATGTTCAAGTTTTTCCACAAAATGATAGAAAACCAATTCAAAACTCATATCCAAGTCCTTAGAACTGATAATGGAAAAGAATATTTCAATTCCATTCTAGGAGAGTATTTGTTGGAAAATGGGATTATACATCAAAGTTATTGTGTTGATACTCCACAGCAAAATGAAATTTCTGAGAGAAAAAACCATCATTTGTTTGAAGTCGCCCGCACTCTCATGTTTACGATGAATGACCCAAGATACTTGTGGGAGGATGCTATCCTAACTGCTACCTATCTTAGAAACCGCTTACCAAGTCGTCCAATCAACTTCAAAACCCTTTGTCTGTCCTTTCCACAACCTTTCCACAAATCTCTAAATCTAGTTCCCTTCCTTTAAAAACTTTTGATTGTACAGACTTTGTCCATATTCATGATCACCATTGGAGTAAACTTGATCCACGGGCATTCGAAACTGTCTTCATTGGCTATTCTCCAACTCAAAAAGGTTATCGTTGTTATTGTCCACTCACTAAGAAAACATTTGTTACTTGTGATGTCACATTTTTTGAAGATACACATTTTTTCTCCAACTTTCACTTCAGGGGAGAAACAAGATGAAGCTTGTTGTTCTTGGGATACTCTTGATCTACCTTTACTAGGTGTTAACTTGTACACCACGACTGTTTCCACTCTTGAGTTAGTTCAGATTAGTTTGTCTAGAGATGAACCAAGTTCACAAAATCATGCAGAAGTATCGGAAACAGGGGGAGAACCAACACTGATTATGCCTAGACAACAAGAATTACGGGTCTACTCTAGAAGAAAAAACTCTCAAGCAAATAAAGAAATCATGAATCCTAATCACAGTCAAAAAGATGAACCGATTGTAGAGTCCTCCTTACCAAACGAGTCAGGTACATCTAGTCCTATTCTTGATTTAGACATGCCAATAGCAATCAGAAAATGTGTTAAATATTGTACTCAATATCCTATTTCTAAATTCATTTCCTATTCAAATCTATCTACTTCATTTCGTGCTTTCACCTCAAATTTATCCAGTGTAACAATTCCCCGGTCTATTGAGGAGGCATTATTAGCTCCGGAATGGAAAGCTGTTGTTCTTGAAGAAATGCGTGCTCTTAAACAAAATAATACATGGAGCTTGATGGAACTGCCACAAGGAAAAAGCACCGTAGGATGCAAATGAGTATTTACAGTTAAGTATAAAGCAGATGGTTCTGTTGAGAGACACAAGACACGTTTAGTGGCCAAAGGTTTCACTCAAACATATGGAATTGACTACACTGAAACCTTTGCTCAGGTTGCCAAACTCAATAATGTCCGAATTCTTCTCTCATTAGCAGCTAACTCTGATTGGCCTTTGCATCAACTTGATATTAAAAACACATTCTTAAACAGTGAGCTTGAAGAAGTTTATATGAGTCAACCTCTGAGTCTTGAAGAGAAGTCGGGAAGTCAGATTGTTTGTAAACTCAACAAGTCTCCATGGTTTAAAACAGTCCCCACGAGCTTGGTTCGACAAATTCTCGAAGGTAATCAGGAAGTTTGGTTATGTTCAGGGACAAGCTGATCATACACTGTTTGTTAAACACTCAGGAAAGGAATTGATTACTATTTTAATAGTATATGTTGATGACATTATTGTCACCGGAAATGATAGTGAAGAGGTAGAGAAAATCAAGCAGATGATGGCAAAGGAATTTGAAATTAAAGATCTTGGGGCATTGAGATAATTTCTAGGTATGGAATTCGCAAGAAGTAAAAAGGGTATTTCTGTCTCTCAAAGGAAGTACACCTTAGATCTTTTGGAAGAAACTGGCATGCTTGGATGTAAGCCAAGTAAAACGCAAACTGAACTTGGGGATAAAGAAAGAATGCTTGAAGGAGAACCAGTCGATAAGGAGAAGTATCACGTCTTGTTGGAAAACTTATTTATCTCTCGCATACAAGACCAAATATTGCATTCGCAGTGAGTCTAGTAAGCCGATATATGCACGCACCATGTCCAGGCCATCTGAATGCAATTTATAGGATCTTGAGATACTTGAAGCAGACACCTGGGAAAGGCTTATTTTTTTGCAAAGACTGATGACCGTCAAGTGATAGCATTCACTGATGCAGATTGGGCTGGGTCAATCGATGATCGAAAATTGATATCTGGATATTGTACTCTAGTTTGGGGAAATTTAATGACTTGGCGCAGCAAAAAACAATCAGTTGCTGCTAGTAGTAGTGCAGACGTCGAGTACAGAGCTATGGCTCATAGAGTTTGTGAACTAATTTGGATAAGAAGAGTGTTGAAAGAATTGAAGATTGAATTTGAGGAACCTATGTGGCTCTACTGTCATAATAAGTCAACGATTAGTATAGCTCGCAATCCAATTCATCATGATAGGACTAAACACGTGGAAGTAGATCGACACTTTATTAAAGAAAAGCTTGATGAAGACATTATCAACATTGAATATGTGCTGATGTCTCACCAGCTAGCTGATCTACTGACAAAAGGTCTACCTGAACAAAATATTGAATTTCTTGTAGGCAATCTTGGTCTCATCAACATCTATAGACAAGCTTGAGGGGGAGTGTAGACGAAATTCAAATTTATATCTAGGATCTGATTGTTTTATTTGTTAATATTTGTTAGGATTTGATTCCTTAATTAGACATATTCTTTTCTAGTCCTGATTTTGTGGGAGTTGTTATTCCCATTGTATTCTATTTAAAAGAGAACGCTATTCATCAATAATATACATAGAATTCATTCTTATTCTTTGAATTTCTTTACATGATAACTTAGAGATGCACAAATTTTGAAGGTTTGAAAAGTTTAAAGGCCCAAAATACTGTCACCACAATCGTTAGCATAGAAGTTAGATCTTGAATAATACGACAATGATGAACAAAAAGAAAAGAAAAGATGACTGGGTAAAAGGGATTTACAATAGTTTCTGGAGCATCTGTTTGCTTGCACATGACCCAGGGAACATCTGCACCAAGGCTAAGTGCCATATTTGCGGCCCATTTGACATATTCTGTCCCACCCTGACCATATGAGCCTTCAACATTTCCATATTCATTTTCAATCTGCTCAAATCGATAAAACAAGCTACATTGTCAGATAGATCACCTCTATGCAACTGCCATTTATAAATTACAGACTAGTAAATGTTTTTTTTCTTATGTCAACGTTAACTGGTGCACTTATATCCATAAGTAGTGTGAACATTAGTTCCTAAAAGTAAATGCATCTGGGATTTTCACAGTAAAATTATCTGCCATGAGAAGTATGTTTTGCTAGAGCCGTGCCAGCTATCTTATAAGCACGAGCATCTTGCTTAAGTTGAGTCCAAAAAGTCTTTCCTGAAATGCTTACAAGGCAAAATCAATTTATATAATAGGTTAAATTGCACATAACCCCATTCATCTATACCTTTAGTTGCGCTGACCACCACCCCTCAACTCACTTATTAGCACTCCCCCCCACCCCTTCAATTCTTAAGGAAGAAGGGTGTTAATTGCAATGTTTCCTTCTAAAAGTAGATACTCAAGGGCTTTGAGTGCTAGTAAATGAGTTAAGGGGAGTAAGTGCAGCCAAAGGTATAGATGAGGGGGGTTATGTGCAAATTACCCTATAATATGACTAAAATTGGAACTGATGTAAAACAGATCTACCACTTTTCCCTCAGTCTCACTGTACTTGTTCGTTGAAACAACATCAGGCACATTCTCTGTTCCCAGCACTCAAATTGATGAAAGCATATAATAGTTACTCTGTGTGTGTGTATGTATCAGGTCCAATGATCCATGCTATTAACCTATAGAACAAATTATCTCATGTGGATATATTAATGTATGGTCGATCAAGCATCCTAAACTAGTAACTGCCTCAACCTACAGTCTATAAGCTAGCCCAAAAAACAGTTACTGAGGGTAAACCAGTTTACTGTCTACTATTTATACAATCCCAAAAAATTGGGATAAAATATTTGTCATAATTGTTGTTGTTATGAGTTAAGAAGGGTTTGATCCGACAATGTCAAAGATGGATAGGCAAATTAAGATACACCTGAAAGAAACTATGCTTATGTGCTAGAGAAATTCATTAAAAAAATAATCACTGTAATATATAAACACAATAATTACTAAAGCTCTTGAATAAGTTAGAATGCATAGTGAATAGCAAGGGATAATGGATTCTCTTACAACCTGCAATAAGATGATAGGACCACCTTGCCAAGAGAAAAGCATTTCCTGCTTCATCAGATTCACGATATTTTTGACAAACTTTTTCATCTCGTTCTGAAACAGGTAGTATTTATTGATAGTGTAAGGGCACATGTCACAGTAACTGATTTGTCTCCTTAGTTTCATCAGTAAATCAGCAAGTAGGTGAAACACAATGCATCTTCAGGAAATGTGATGACCATGATGGTAAGAATAGATTATAACCAAACTAAATAAACACATATAATGTGGAAAAGAGATACATTTAATTAGATTTTTCACCAATCAGTCTTTGGTCTCAAGAACAGGAAACAGGCAACTCTCATGTTTGTCCGGAAATATACAAGCCAGATCTTCAATGAATATAGTCAGCAGGATGGAAACCTTGCCGCATAAAGTAGTAAACATATTGTCAATACGTTCTGAAAGCATAAAGAGTTTAATCCTAATTCAAGCTAGCAAGGTAATGTCAAATGTCACTCCTACAGTCACTGTGGTGAGGAGAAAAACATTCAGGTAGATTGATTGCTCAAAAAGAAAGAAAGAAAAAAGAATGTAAATAGTTCCAAGAAGGTTAGTTATTTTGGAAAGTAGTAGTCCGGTATTCCTTGAGTGCCGGAAAATGTCTTAGCATTTGTTGTGAGTATTTGAGTATAATTATCTGGCTTTTATAATAATAGAGTTTAAAGAAAAGAGTCATTATTTTTGAAGATTTTTCATGCAGGTTTAAGAGAACTTCATGAATTAAGACAGCATAAATTTGGTGCCATTATTTTGAAGATTCATCATGCAGGATGCTCCTAGATAATACTTACTCAGATGAAGTGTTGAAAAGTGTTTGAAGTACTTGATATACATTGCTAGCCCAGACTCAGTAGCTTAAGCTTTTGACCAAAGTGGTTAGCTCAAAAACATCATAGTACCTGTAATACCCACTAACTAATCTCTAATTACCACTAATCATGTATACCTAAATGGTATGGACTCAATGCTACATCCTGCTAAATTATACTAAATATGAATCATTATAATTGAGAAACTATGTGTATTATTATGTGTAAAATGTTATGCTTGTTGAAACATGATACTGATATTAGAGGTGTGTATGATACTGATGCTTAATTAAATAATTTTCTTGTTATGATATTGATAACGTTTTAGTTACATTAAATATGATGCTAGACTGACTGTTGAATCTATAATGAGTAAATTATGTGTTAACACTTATTGTTAATATTTATAAACAATATACTTACCCACCTTAAGTTTATGTGTTGTCTTTATCCCCACTGTGATTATCAAATGATGCTGTGACTAGTTATATAATAATTAATAAGTTATGTGTTGTCTTTATCCCCACTGTGATTATCAAATGATGCTGTGACTAGTTATATAATAATTAATAAGTCATTCGTGTAAGTTATACAAATGATGATTATCAAATGATGCTGTGACTAGTTATATAATAATTAATAAGTCATTCGTGTAAGTTATACAAATGAACTTAACTACAATTTGCTTTATAAAGATAATGTACTGGTATATAAAATTTCTCAAAAGAATGATAAAGCAATCATCAGCTTGCCAATGATCCAACTTGTATCCATATGCTTTTTGGTTAGACTTAAACAAGTACATTTTGTTTGTTGATGACCTCCACCCACCTCACGAATTTTAACAGCCTACCAAAATCCTAACAAACCTTATCCTCACACTCATCACTCCGTAAAACATGTCTTATAAAATTTTGTCTCACGGGAAAAGAGAGAGAGAGAACATATTGCTCACGGGAAAAGAGGGGGAGAGAGAGAAAGAAAAAGAAAAGAAAAGAGAGGAATGAAGATCTCCGATTAGAAAACAAGAGAGAAGGAAGGGGGAATTCTTTCAATCCGTCTTTAGAAATTGGTATCTTTTGGATCTAATACGCAGGCAAGCATTCCTTTAACTTTTTCATTTATCGCCTTATATATATATTTTTATAATTGGCAAACATTTCTTATCCTTCAACTCTTTTATTTTTCATGATCGAACTATTTTTCATAGTCGGCAAGCATATCTTTCCTCAAATTCTTTTCTAAAATTTTTACCTTCATGCAAGCATTTTTCTTATCTTTTAACCATTTTTATTGACCACCATATTTTTTTCATAAACTGCGAGAATATTTTGTCTTGTTTTTGTTTTGTTGAATTTTTTCTTCAGTTCATATGACTGTTTTATTCCAAGAACAAATATGTTATTTATTAAATATATTAGTTCCTCTTCAAGTCTTCCTCTATTTTTCCCGTTGTAGAAATTTATTAATAACTATATTGAAAATTTATGTTTCTATTAATATTTTGTATTTTGAAGGCTGTGCGATCTGAGAAGAACTAGAAGTATATCATACAAATGTTTATCTTGGAAAAGTGAGTTTACTGTCATCATACGTTTTAGAAATTAGTACATGTTGTGTGTACTGGACACAAAAAAAACATTAGACTTGGAAGTTGGCAATTTTGAACAATACACGGACCAATCATTGTTTTAAATAGCTGCATGTATAGCTCCCTCTGTGAAGGTAGCTAATTAGGGCCACATTGTTTAATCTTAGATTTCTCTAATACGGTAGGGACGGAAATCTTTGGTGGAGCCGTATGTTTTTCCTTAGAAACCAATTTGCACTACGTTTGCATATTAATGATAATGAATTATTGTCTTATCTATCTACTTGTGTGTCTGGACCAGACTAGGTCCGATTAAACCGGTTCAGACCAGACCCGAACCCAAGTTTGGATCAGACCAGAACCTACTTCAGACTAGACCAGACTAGATTGAACCAGACCAGCATTCGAACTGAACCAAACCAGAACCCCATCTAGACCAGACCAGGTCCGACCAAACCAGTTCAGACTAGTCCAGTCCAAATTAACCAATCTGAACTTGACCAGATCCAAATTTTGTTATAGTCAGTCTTGAACCCAACTAAGCACTGCTAACCTTGCCAGGATTTAACACATTAATATGACTTATCTGGTATTAATAATGGAGATCATATGAAATGTCATTATTAGATATAAACCCGGTTTGTACATATAGTACTTATCTTGTTTGATATTGTGTTGATATGCATATTATTGCTTGATCACCTAGTTATTATCCAATAGGAGAGACTGTACATGAAGACGACTCCTGTTAAAAATATGATTTATAAGCGTGCTTTCATAGCATGGCTATGCTCTCGATATCGATATCCTGATATGAGATTTTTCCTTGACTATTACTATTATAGCATCGACTAGACGATGCACCCATCTTGATTGGATATGTTCTGGGTTTCACGGTTATCTTCATAGTTTTACGGAAGTCATTCCACGGTAACTCTGTGGTTAGTGCATAATATTTCATGCACAGTCACTTAAATTAAATCGACAAAAAACATGAGGTTTATAAAAGAGGAATTAGACGGAGAATATAACATGTATATAAACGGGCACATGCGCATTCCTGATATCCTGAGTTATATATACATGGGCCAAAGGGCCAATACTTGACTTGAAGCCGTGTTCTCGAGACGGTTTACGGGGAACCGATTTATATACATGAAAATATTCTTCTCTAATTCAAATAACATGTAAAATAAGAATAATGTGTTTATATGCTTTGTGATAGATTTAGCATGCACGTCATGTCTTGGATGAGGTGTTGGTGATGTATATTTGTATTGGTTGTTTATAGAATTTTGGGAATTGATATTTAGTGATTTATAATTTGAGATATATGATATATACGAGGGTTTCCTTGTTTGGATTATTCCCTCGACGTACTCATCTCGTGTTGTGTGTTTTTAAATTTTAACTCCTTTTAGCACAGGTATAAGATATGTGCTTTGTGGTAGACTTTGTTTGATATCCATAATTAGAAATTTCTTTTATCATCTTTAATTGAGTTTCCATACTTTCTTTATACCTGCCACATGCACTTACACGCGCATAATTTCTTTATTTTACATGTTTGCTGGGAGTTTTCTGACTCCCCTGGGGTTTGCATGCCCCAGACATGGGAACCATTCTTTCTTAGCAGGACCGAACATACCTTGAGGATCAGACCCAACGACAATGATCACTTTATGTCCTATCATTCTCTCAGCTTCAGTGTATTTAGACTTTTTCCTGTAATCACATGTGGTTCTCCATGCTATGGTGTATTATCCTCTTTTCTACTTTGGATAGTTGTGTACATGTAAGAGAACTCTATCTTTTTTTAGAGATTTCTTTACCTATCTATTTCCTTTGTTATCTTAGTTACATGCTCTATGTAGTAGTTCTTTTAGGCGATATATCTATGTACAGGATGATCTAGAGGCTTGAATGTGACCGTATGGTTGCATTGCCGGCCGAGTCACGCTCCAAATGATCAAAATTGGAACCGGGGCGTGACAGTACCAGCTCTCAACATTCTTGGTTCAGAACCCAATTTGCTTTACTTTTCCAAACAGGATATTTCATATTAAGGAATTTTTTGCTTAAAATTCATGTTAACTTGACCACCAACTGCATTCAAGTTTTTAATGGCATGGCTTACTCTTACTAACAGTTTCTTTGGCCAGGTATTTGCCCAACTCAGGAAGACAGCTGTTACAAACTAGGTTGGTTTTTTTGGACTTCCTAGACCACAGTTTTTTTTTCCAGTCAGCCCTCTTTCCGATGGGAAAATGTTTTAATGGAAATGATTGACAATTTAAAAGTTATAAAAGCTTAGCAAACATCACTGGTCAATATGAACAAAAATATTCATTAAAACAAAAAGATGGCAATGTACGAGCAAATACTAGAAATTACTATGTATATTGAAGATGTGAATGCAACAAATTCTTCCTACAAATCATAATACCTTGAATGGCGCATTATTTGTCCGGAATTCTATGCCCGGAACATCACGCAACCAAACTGGGAAACCCCTGTAAAAGGAGAAAAAGAAAATAATCGTGATACTGTCCCATGGTTGATAGCAACCACAAAGCCTGGAACAACAGAGGTGCTGATGAGAGCGAAAAAGGGATAAAATGGCAAACAGTAAATGCAATTACTATTTCTCGGGATGGAATCAAGAAAATCTAATGGAAAGTAACAAGCTGCAATGTTCCGTTCCAAGCGCCAAAGAATCATTGCCAGCTGTAGCAGTTAATGAGTGGCCATGTACATGATTACTTATAAATTATCAAACTTGAGTTCTTATTTTTTTTTTAAATAAAAAGTTCCACTCATAGTAATAACACGGGCTAGAAAGTATCAGGCACAAGAGTAAACAACCAACCACATGCAGTAACTTTAACTTCCATCACCAGTTAGTCTTCTGTATAAAAGGATGAAACTATCATACAGAAGAGATCACTCATGTTTTCCAGTATCTACTATTAACACCATATGACAAAAACTAAAAGCATGAAAGTCCATTTGAAGGCATAAAGTTCTATAAGCTCTCCGCAGGTCTTGCATTAAAATGAAATATTTTGGTCTTGAAATCCAATAAAACCATTGCATGAGACAAATATATTTGGAGAAGATGAAGGAAAATGAACAGATATGAATAAAATGAAGGCTGTATGGATTACATTTGCAGCAAAACAGATATCAGTTGACAGCTTTAAAGGAACCCCACTTCCCTCCTCAGAGCAAGATACGTGAATTCTAATATTGAAGTAGTATCTTGTAACAAAACATGTTTTGACTCAGTGGCTTCTTTCTCTCGATCATCAAACTTATAAATAAAATTCCACTTATTGTAGTTTATCTGCTCATGACAAATTGTGCAGCTGAGTGATGTTGTTTAATAACATAATGTGTTTTACTAGCATGTCAATTTGAAAGTCCACATATTAAGTGAATTAGTGCAGGCCAAAAACATAGTATGAAATAAATTTAGCTTATTTATTTCCAAATTTTACTGACATAAAGTGCAATTTTCTCCCCCACTTTCATCATAACTGAACATATGCATTTATCTGTTACTTCTGACTACTTGGCAACACTATGCAAATGGAAAGGAAGGCCACATACAGCCATCAGCATAGATGCTTTGTTCTTCATCACCTCTGTCCACTATGACCTATTATGAGGTGTTCGTTTGTATACCAACATGCAACTCAGACTTAGTAGAGACTAATATGGACGTTCAACTTACCCACTACAGCAAAGGAAATAGAAGTCTAATTGCTGTAAATGCACCTCATTCTTCATCAGTTACGTCTAACACGACCTTTTATAGAGGTGTCAACATGCCAGGTTGTGTGACCACAAATATCTGATGATATAGTTGTGTGTCTATTGTCTAATAACTACTACGTCTTCCAAAAAGCGACTCAGATTGATAAGTGAAATCAGTCATATTTAATGGACTGAACTTTTATACACTAATTGTGAATGCTCATATTTTCACCTCGCCACTGCAAGCAACTGGAAAAAAGACCCATCGCTAGTCATGCACCTCGTTCTTTATTAATTACGTCAAAGTAGACCTATTGTGGAGGTATTACAATGTCAGGTTCAGCATTTACAAATACCACACAACACATATTTATCTGAGTAAACTGATAAGATTTGAAGATTCTTCTCTATGTTTCTATTTTCAGTTGTGGCATTCAAAGTACTGAGGCACCATGTAAAACATTCATTACTCTATATAGAAATTAATTTCCTATGAAAATCTCAGGGTCGCTCTACCCACTTCTCACAAATGTAGATCCCCCTTGTTGCACCTGCTGCTATTTGCAGTTTCTATTATGTGTTCTCAACTCCTACTGCATTTACTCCAAACGTGTCTACCAATTTTGCCTTCATCCATGATAGTCCTCTTCCTTGATCTACTTACAACTCTACATTCCCTCCTCATCAACGGCTGAGGATTTTGTTAACTTCGCTCAAACCACAGCATCTACAGATGATTTTGATACTGTGCGTGCTCTTTAGAATTTTGCACAAATAGTCTCTTAGATGTATGCCAAAACTTTGTGAATGTAAAATGCTAAGAAGAAACTACTTTTAGAACCTAGATGAAGTTCTGTCAAAAAAATGGGTGCTCAAGCACATCAAAGGTGTAGCTGACTGTAAGAATGAAAATCAGGGTAAATGTTAGTAATTGGTAAGAAAATTTTGGGCATTGGAATCAGAAATTGCATTAATGACAAACTATTCTCATGTTGTTTGCTTTCGCTCATATACTTATGCCTAAAATGATGGATCAAATTAGTTAAGAATTTTTCTCAGAAATTCCTCAACTATTTATTTGTCACTGCACAATTCACAAGTTGCAAAAGATACAGTCCAGAATCATCAGATGAGCAGTCAAGTGCAAAATATTCCAGTAACAGAAGTGGAAAAGTAAACAAACAGTAGATAACGGCCATAAGAACTTCAGATAAAGAGTAGATTATCGCTGCCTAAAGCAAAGGGCATGAGAAATTAGGTAAATTGCACGAATTTTCTTTATATAAGCCCTAAAATAAGGAAAGACGTGAAACAAAATGAGGAGAGACAAGTGGAGACCCAAAATTCCATTCTGCACAAACATAAGGGCCAATGCGGAGATGAAGATAAAGCCCATTTGAGCCCACCAGTTTTGCAAACTTCACAAGATCATATCTTCCTTCAAAATTGTACTGGTTCGCAATAACCACATGTCAGAATAATATAGCACAAGATTGTCAAGGTAACCTAATATGTGTGCCAGACCGAAAGAAAAAAAAAATGCATAATACCTGACCTCTGCTTGGCTCATGGCCGTTCCAAAATACATAAGTTTGTATCACATCTGCCCCACCTTCCTTGCTCTTAGAGATCAGTCCGGGCCACATCTGAGATAATAAGAGATAAAACTCAGAAAAACTTAAAGCTGAAGCTAAAATAAAAGTAACAAAGAACTAACAGTCTGACAATTCACAGTTGATGTTACTATGTTAAGAGTTATAAAAAGGAGACTATGGTCGAACATGAACATTGCATGGTATACTCAGCAACAAACCAGAAACGTTAAATAGTTTAATCAGTATCAGTTCTATGAATGAATGAGAATGTCCAACTAAACTAATCTTACCGGAATCATACATATCATGCTTGGTTGTTTTCGTCAATGACGTGGGTCTAAATTAATAGAAGTAGGCAAAAGTAGAATGCAGTCTCCACTATTTAAACTAAAATTTGGTACTGAACTGAAGCTTACAGAAACAAGATCAACCTTAGTGAAATTTCCTCTATTATTTTAGTTTTCCAAATATTCTTATGAGATCAACTTCAAAACTAGGTTAAGACAAGCCTCTGTCTTTACCATAATTTCTTCGGCCAAGACTTTGGCACGAAACTTAGATGGCTGATGTAAGATCATAAAATTTATCAAATCATCGCGGAGCTTTCACACAAATCGTGCTCGATGGACAAAACCATTTCAACGCAAAATTGTCTTTACAGAATACCAAAACATGTAAAATATGATCTTAGTAAAGTCATGTGTGTGTGTGTGTTGATCCATCATCAATCTACTATCAAAATTAACAAAAACTACCCCAAAGTACAGTGCGAGCTCCATTCTTTTGACCTGAATTTTTGTGCGGGCGACAAAACTTTTTGTATACTACAGTGTATTTGGTTTTCTCCACTACCAAAAATTATTGAAGTGACCACTACTTCTAATCAACCGTCTATCATTTAGTTCACAATTGTGATTTTTCTTGAGCCAAAAGTGAGAATAAGTGCAATACATTGGGATATGGTAAGTGGTCTCTCCACTAAAAGAAAAATAGACGTGGTCTCTACACTAGTTTCTGGTAATGGAGAAAATCCAAATGCCGAAACTTTTGTGTAGTATTCGATACTATATACATTCTTGTATAATCAATAGGCCTAAAATATTACCCAAACCAGGAGAGACCACTGCTTTTGCTACAAACTTGTCTTTAAATGAAAAAAATAGGAATGAGTGCAATACACGAGGACATGTTAAGTAAACTTAGAGTGAATCATAGCCATCCATCAAATAATAGACAGTTGTAAAATTGCTCATACAGTCTCTCTACTACTTTTTGGTAGTGGAGAGAATCCAAACCCCCCTACTATAGGGTGCGTTTGGATGGGGTTTAGAAGATGAAGTTAAAGTGAAATTTCATTTTAACCTTGTTTGAGAGTTCTTTTGAGGGGATAAAGATGGAATGGAAGATTAAAATTTCCTTA